ATTCTCTTCGGCTGGGTCTTGCTTCCAACGCCTCCACAGTCTTACTATCTTATTAATGTGTATTATTAAAGCCTCTCTTAAGTTTCTGAAAACAAAGTCGGCCAACTGTGGATTGTGTGAATGATGTTTGGCAGGCTTATTTTTTAGCTCCCTCATATTCAAGATCAATGGGAAAGGATTTGACTTGTTTGAAAGCCGTGTTTACGACTTTCGTAAACACCTAAGACGAGGGAAGGACGTACCAGGGCATCTGAGGGCCTAACTACCGAGAGTTTCCCTTTGATGGTCATTTTTAATGACTTTTGAACCAGCCTGTTTACTTATGTTATACAATTTGTCTTGTAATTTTTACTCCGCACATCGTACAGTCGCGTTTAACTCACCAGCAGTGTTTGGAGTAAGTGCACTTTCGACAGGTGGTAATATTTTATCTTGACAGTTTGTGATTTGTCACGATTACGCGTAACAAGAGTTCCGACGAAGGCATTCCTCGCTTTGACACTGTTAACAACGGGAGTCCCAACCCTTCTATAAGGGATAAGAGCCAAGCTGACTACTATCGGTTACACTCTTGATTTTCTCCTTGTCTGATGCCAGACTTATTGCGGAGTCATTTTCACTTGACAATTTCCTCATCAGAGTGAAAAGCTCTATAACTTTTCCTAGAAGGATCGCCTTAGGCAACAATCTTTACATAACTTGAGTGAGGTCTGTTTGTAGCAACGTTTATACGCAGTTGGTGACATATTGACACATTCTATGAAATCATCTTTTACAGGAAAAAGGCACAACAACCATAAGAGTCGATGATTTTGAACGACTACCTCAACCAGTATGTGAATAAAACGAGAAAAAGTTCAAGAGAGCTACAAAAAAGTGCGACGGTAGTCTCATCTAGCAATGGTTGAAACAAAACCTTAGAAAGATTAATGACCCCAATAATAGGAAAATAGTAAATATGAATACACATGCGTTGGTTGACAAACAAAAGGATTCAATTAGTGTAAACTGATATAGAGAGGTGTGAAGAAAGTAATTTACAACTCTGGATAGTGCCAAAAGCGTTAAAATGAGTTTGAATTTAGCTTCAGACACGATAAAAGCTGCAGAAATCTAGTATCTCAAAACATTGAAAAACATTTCATCTTCAGAACACGATGATTAACGATGAAAGGAGCAAAAAAATAAGAGATGTTTGTACTGAAATTTTTTAATGGTTGGGTCTAATTATTGGGGTATAATAAACAATCCCCAGAACATGTATATAAAAAAACACCTATGTAATTACTGGGATGAGACCTGGAATTCCTAAGGACGCTCGCAAGAAAGACAAAATCGCAAACTGAAAAAGACAAACAAAACTCTGGTTCTCTCTTTTAAAACCGTGCTTGTGTTAGTAAAATGGATCTTTACCAATATTTTAATTTTATGCATTTTGTAGATGCTTCATTTACTCTAGTGAGCCTAATGAATGCACCGATATGCGACTCCATGTTATTGCAAGAGATCCCTATCAGATCCAGATTTGTGTAGTAAGGACAGAAGGCCCACGGCCTATGTTATTTGTTTTCTGGTATTCTTCTGTGAGTGTCTAGTCTTCTCTTGGTTGAGTCAGTTGAATGTGCGGACACCAGTTCTTCGGGTAACAGGTTCCAAGAATTAATGGATTGGTGTGAAAACCTGTATGCCATAGGTATTTTGTTCGTTCTTGACTTTTCTACTCGCCTGCTATGTCCTCTGGGATGTCACGATCGAATGGGAAGCAAAAGAGAGGACATGTCAGGTCCAAAATCATTTCTTAGTATTCTATACATCAAAATCGGATCACACCCTAATCTGCGATAGGACAGAGCAAAGAGGTCTAGCTTCGCAGGCCACTCTTTGTATGGTAAACCCCGGAGTTCTAAAATTTCACGGGTAGCTGCCCTCCATGTTTTTTTTTCAAGATATCCGAGTCACCTTCTAAACAGGGGCTTGAATCCTGAACGCAGTTCTCAAGCTTAGTTCTCACTAAAGTTGTATTTAATGTAGTGAACATGATAGTATCTAACTTGGTTAATGTCCGTCTTAAAGCCCATAGTTTTCTCAACCCCTTAGCTAAGACCTCCCGGCAATGGGCCGTGGTCTTAAGACCATGACTCACTGTCACCCCAAGCTCCTTATGAGACCGGACCACGAGTATAGGCACTTCCTCTATGCTGTACCTACTTACTTTTGTATCTCCACAGTTCGTGTAGATACACTTTGCCGCATTCATAGGCATCAACCACTCCTTAGACCAGTTAATCACAATATTTAAGTCTGCCCGAAGTACACATGAATCAGCGTCTCCTGTTATTTCTCCCCAGATTTTTACATCGTTAGCGTACAATAACATTGAGGACTCAACCATACCTGAGAGATCACTTACATACAACATAAAAGTAAAAGATCTAGGACAGAACCTCCAGGTACTCTGCTAAGTACCGGCCTTCAGGTGCAGCACTTCGAATCTACTCTTACTTTCTCTCTACGCACACTATGATCCTGATGAATCATCGCGTAAACCCCATAATTTGCTACTCAACTACTAATGGTCTTGCCTTTTTTGAGCCTGAAAATTATCACCTGGTTTGATTAACACAGAACACTAACAACAACAGAATAATGAGAATTCTTTCTTAACTATTTTTCATTAGCTTACTGCTTTCACCAACATTTTGTTGATTTATCATTAATTTTATTTCCTTATCCGTTGTCTGGTTTATAAATAATATATTCCAACACTTTCCGCCTAATTCGACAGGTACATAGTTGCTATTATACTTTCCTAAATGCCTATGGCTTACTTGGAGACCCTTATGCTATAACATAGTAGTATACATCACTGCATAGCTCTCTAACCCATTATCTATTTTTGTAACCGTCTGAAGATCGTGTAACATGGCGTAGATTCCGAACTCAGTTGGGAATCTACGGACCTAAACAGACATCTGCTGACTGAACGAAGTCGTTTGGCTATAACTATCGCGGTCACTCCTAAAATTTCAAGTATCGTTTCTTGGGATATTTTAGTCCGTCGTTCGTGATGCCAAGCATGCGCCATAAAAAGTCAAGATCGAAGTTGGTTAGTGTCAATGAAGCCAAATTACATGAAGAATCCCCTTTGACAAAGAAAGTGCCCTTTGATACTCTTATGTGTTATATTTCAGTCTTAAATAAGAGTAATTATTATTATAGTGATGTTAGTTCTGATGTGATGACGCAAAAGATCTATGTTTAGACGAGAAGCAGAAACCCGAAATATTAGAGGAGAGTATGGAACCACTTGCGCCGGTTGTTGCAGGTCATGAACTCCCTAAGGCAGATTTGAGCTACTTCGATATACAGCCAAGGGGTTACTGAAAGTTTTTACGTCACTTTGAGACATATGTAGCGTCAAGAGTCATTGATGGTAGTCAGGGTTTGCTTTACCTGATACATTATTGCAAGGGAAAGATGAAAACAGCCTATCGAGGGATGAGTCATGATGAACGCCCCTGCTGGTTATAAGGAAGCTAGACAGTCATATGTATTTGCTCGAAAAACCATAGAAAGCTTGTTTAATGCTGTGAATTTAGGTTGTAGTGACGCTCAACAATTATCAAAACAGGCTATAAAAATGGAAAATTTTACTATGGTTTTAGAACAAATGAATTTTACTGTTGCTCTAAACACTTTAGCGACTTCAAAATGAATGATGAACCTTCTGCCTCAACCAATGTAAGTAGAGTGTTCAGACTTGGTGGGTAGACTAAGAGGAGACGATAGAGAGCCAACATTTGTCGAGCTTACCAAATTTACAGCGTCTCGTGCCAGAGTCGCTAGTAGTAGATTCAAAAAGTTGGACATAACGTGATGATGAATTGTCACTTGCAGTCTGGACAGTGGAATAGTTCGGATGTAAAAACTAAATGCAGCATCTGTTATGATGACCACATTATTTATAAATGCCCACGTTTTTTAGCGCTAGCAGTTGAAGACTGGTGGCCCCACTCAAAGACCATGAGTATTCGCCCTGTTTGTCTTAGGCAAGGACATAGATCTGGTGAACTCAGATTGATAAGGTGATGTAGCGTTGATAGATGTGTAAAGAGGTATCACCAACTGTCTCATAGTGATTCACCAGTCATTAGCTCGTATGATAAATCTGGTACAGAGAATTATTGTGGATTTACTGTCCCTAAGCAATCAGGTCTGTTCGGGAACGATTCCCGTACGATTAAGTTCGGGAGACACTGAAGTTATCAGTTATGCTCTTTTGGATAATGGTTCCGACGCAAGATTGACAAAGTCCGACTGCTTGAGATTCCTCGGGTCAAAGAAAGACCAGGGATCGTCGTTAGTCCAGACAGTGGGCAGTAACAAAACAATTAAGGTTACGGATGCGTCTTCTGAAGTGTATTTACTAAATCAAACTATTTTGACTTTGAATACAGTATTTGTTCGTCCTAAACACAAGTACTGAATGCAAACGGCTAAGCTCTACCTAAAAAGAGATGGTGAGCTGTTGAAAAGATTCAAAAAACCTCAACTAAGCTGATTCCTAAAACAATAAGGCCCCCGTATGATTTCTGACTGGCTAACCTAAACCTATTTCCATTGTCAAATAGAAGAACCAGGGGCGATTTGACCACAGTTTGTAAATTAATAATGACAGATTTGGATCTGATATGTCCTCACTTTTCTTGTCTTCCAAGACAGAAAATTTGCGAGGACACTATAAAAACGTTCACAAGCCCAGAACAAATTACTTGTCAGATGACTATCGAATAATTAACTAATAGAATTAATTGCCCCAACATATGATTTAATCTCCTTCTGTCGATGTTTTCAAAAAAGTTGATTCAACTGAGAGATTACCATTTTCAAGAATAACACGGGCCACTTGGCCTCCCGTTCTTTCCGAACTCAAAACTGAAACTGAAAACTGAATATGCTACCGTATCTTCCGCGGTGTTTTTAAGTGTGTTGCCAAAGTAATGATTGATTCGTTTTTCGATGATTCCTCAATAAAAAACGAACTTAACAATGACTTTTCTACCAACTGTTACTCCACTGTTGATCTCCAGTCTGATTTCTCACTTGATAATGTGGAAATATATCCAGAAATACCTAATAATGATTCTTATGGTGCTCTATTTCTGATGGACTCTGCGGACCTTTTAGATGTACGTGAAGAAGTTATTGGTGAAGAGCATTTCGCGTCAAATGTTGATCAACCACCATACATGGAAGGACTTTCAAGGAGGTTTGGACTATTCTCTGCCAAGAGTTCACGAATCAGTACCAGTCATAAAGATAAAGGTATGTATCTGTTTTAACACTATCTTCTTATAAAAAAAACCCATTGCAATGTCCATGTAGGACGTTAAATTAATTTATAAATCCTTGGTCCGTCATTAAATAGTGGTTGAACATGTTTGTGTAACTGATGGCTTTTTGATGCCTATATTAGTGCACGCGGATCCATATTTCGGACCTGTACTCTGAAGACTGATATGAGTTCTTCTCGAGCAAGCTTTTACATACTCCTGGTGTTTTAAGCAAGTTAGCTGAAGGTGCGAACACTACCTCCTCCTGGAGCTGACTACTCGGCAAGAGGACCTGTATGTCAGTATATCAGTCAGTCAGTCAGCTACAACGTAGGACCAGGCACTTGTGTGCATCGGTCCAGGTTGCCATACCGCATCAGCACAACAAGATGAACACCGGATTCATATCAGTGGTTAGGTCAAAGGTGGTAATATATAAGAGAAAGATTGCATATAGAGATATAGTACAAGAAGAAAGAATTGGTTCGTAGAAAGAAAGATATAAAGTGATTTTAATCTCTTAGTTTAAGAGAAGACAGGGAGTGTATACACCGACGCCATTGTGATCGATTCTGAGCCATGTCACCAAGAGTCTCCAACTCTTGGTTACGATAGTCACGCGGACCCCAACCAAGTAGTCTGCATCTACCAACATGGCTCAGACTAGAAGTTAGTGACTTCAAGCACTGATGCCACGTCCTGGTTTGGCCGCCCCTAACTTTCTTCCAACCATCCCGAACACCGGTTAGCGTTGCACGTCGTGGTAATCGGTGTTCAGGCATACGTAACGCGTGGCCCAACCATCTCAGTCGATGAAGATTCATAACCTCATCAACTGATTTACCATCATTCCCTAATACCCTGCGTCAAATCTGGCTATTACTTACCCGGTGATCCCAGCAGACGCCAGCAATATTTCTAAGGCATCTGTGGTCAAATACTAGTAGCTTACGAGTGTCTTCTACTCTTAAAGGCCATGTTTCGCTGCCTTAAAATAGAACAGAACAGACTGCCGCGCAGTTTACTCGTCCTTTTATTTATAAACGAATATCTCGCCTTCGCCATAGGTGACGCAAGTTGGCAAAAGCCAAGCGAGCTTTTCGAATCCGTGCTGAGATTTCGTCAGACACCAACCCATTAGGGCTGATCAGACTTCCAAGGTAAGTGAAGTTGCCAACGCGTTCGACTACTTCACTCCCTATCCTTAGTTCAGGTGTTGACACAGACCAGTCCTAAAGCAACAACTTGCATTTCGAGGGAGAGAAGCGCATTCCAAACATTCTGGCATTGTTGCTTAGTACTACCAAAAGACTCTGCATTTTGTCAGCGTCTTCACCAAACAGGACTATGTCATCTGCGTATTCTAAGTCGATAAGTGGACCCAGGTAGATAGCTTAAATCAATCAAAAAGACAGGTGCCTATTTTAATATTCCGGCTAAGTGAACAGATAATGATGATCAACTGCTGCAACTGTGCTCAGACAATCGTTTATTTTTAGCAAACACCAATTTAAAGAATAAGGAGAAACATCGTCTAACATGGTTACTCCTACACCATACTAACGATGAACTCGACCATATTGCCATCAATCATCGTTTGAGAGGCCCGACAGAAGACTGTAGCTTGTTCTGGATTACCTGTTTGGATCATGCTCTAATACGAGTACGCATGTGCTTGCGCCTCGCTGGATGCAGAAAAACCACATTAAGAAGATCCATTAGAGTCGAACTCAGTGACGAGGAAGCCAAAAGTAGACTCCAGGAATAGCTGAGGTCACACTTAGGTAGTTCTGAAAACGAGGCTGCCCCGGGTGTTGCTTGAAAAGATATACGAACAGCTGTGGAGACAACAGCGACATCTATTAGTGATTTAAATCCGATGGATTCCTACTAGGTCTATTGCACCGACAGATTCTCGTAAACTCATCCCATCAGGCTCTGAACACGATGAAGAGCGAAAACAAATCAGATCTAGGTTAAGCAAAAGTCTAAGGAATGACCGTGAACAGTGGTGGGCAACAAAAGCAAAAGAAATGAAAAAGGCGGCAGCTGTAGGTAATTTAAGACAGCTCTACAGACCAACAAAAGAAACTGGAATTAATAAGTCAAATGTAAGTGAGACTATTTCGGAAAAAGACGACACTCATATCTGCTCTCAGTTCAGTTGACTGATTGACCTTTTAACCCTGTGATTACGCTTCCGACTTAATGAGATTGTAAATCACAGTCTAGTTCTTTTCTCAAATTACTCCGAAAATATTTCCAGAGTAAAATTAGCCAGATATTCACGTTCACATAACAGTACTCCAGTTCATTCTGTTTACCACCAATCATTTTCTAATTCTCCAGACTTAGATTTCTATTATCATATCGACATGGTACTTCGGTTTTCATAGAGAACGTTAGTAAAAGACTGCTGCCCAGAGTCAACATGGAATATGTAGGATTTAATTCCCCTACAGATGAATTTTCTGATAAGTTCCTAGACTTTCATAGTCTTGGCACGACCAAAGTCGAAACAAGTAAGTTGTTTGGTTTGTAACACTTAAATCCGTTTCTGGAACATAAATTAATATAGTTAGTGAGTAAACAGAAATCAGTTCAATCCGTTAAAAGAAGAAAATGAAGAGACAAAAATATCACGTACTAATTAGTCACTAGAGCCCAGCAAATAAGTCAATAAGGTTTGTGATCGGGAAACAAGCGTAGTCACACCAAAGTCAGAACTAATCGAAGTAGTGGGCGTTTGAGAGCACCATCGGTGAGTTTGTTTTTCGGTCACACTAAACCGTACCAATTAATGAGTTTGCTCATTTGTTGTACAGGGAACTACCTGCTTAATTGACATAGATTAAGGCCGATTTCTGTGTTACAGATTTCTTTCTTTCTTGTTCTCTCCTAACTTTAAACGTGGTGTTATTTTACAGATTTTTTGTCCAGTTTCTTCCCATTTGAACTAGATTTCCTATAGTTAGGTCCACACGACAATTGGCATTATGATTCTTTTCTCACCAATAATATAAACTGCGACCATTGCCCTAGGAGCATACTTGTCCCAGATCCTGTATTGTTTGTCCGACGTTATTAGGCCTCATTAGTTACCTAGTGTTGGTGTTATTTACACTCAGCATCACAAATGGTCCAAGATAATCATCGAACTTATCTCTGAGTAATCGTTATTGATAGATCAAATGTAAGACTTATGAAAGTTTATAAATCTGAACTGTCACAACATAACGAATTTTACAGAACTATAGAAAGTATAAATACTGGCTTAATTAGTGTGAAATTTAATCACGTAAATTTTAGTTTTGTCAACACTTAGACTGAATAACACATAGACAGCTCAGCTCCTTTCAATAGTTCTTTGACGATAAGCGCAGATGTAGCCTCCTGTTTCTGTGATTTTCCATGTCATATGTAGTTCGCGATTATCGTCTGTCGACTTGTTTAGAAGTCTTAAACATTCATAAATCAACCGTTTGGATTTGCTTAATATTTCCTGGTTCTTAAGTTAGTGTTGAGTCGCGATAATATTTCCAGGCGCAATTTTTCCTTCATCTGGTTTTGTATCCTTTTGTATATCATTATTATTATTTAAACACATAAACGTTGGTACAAGGAGGCACCAAATACATATGCGCCACATAAATCATTCGATTTATGTCAGGGCTGGGATACTGTCCGGGTGCCCAGACCGAACCAGGTGGTTTTCTTAGGGTGCGACACCCCGAGCACTTGACCTAGAGGTCTGATCCACAAGGCAGTTTAGCAACGTTAGGAGATACGGTCTCATAGTAGTCGGTGACCAATAGTTAGTTCGCACGCCGTTTGTTCCTTCAGGATCCCGGAGCTCATGTGCACCATTGGTTTGGAATCAGGGTTTCCCAACTCCCTTAGGTGAATCCACCAACCCGGTTAAAGCACCGGACACTCGCTTTTCGTTTTCTCATTTGCGTAAACAACACTCGTGGTGCGAGAAGGCAGTGAGTAGGACTTTCATGGCAGTGGTTGTATGCACGTGGCCATGTGAGAGCATTTCGAGAGGGAGAGATGACCCTCCACACTCAGCCTAACGAGGGCATTTGGAGTCATCTTTTTGTGTATCAACTATTATTTCGCTTTAGTTTATTATATATTTTTTGTTTGTTTGTAGGTAATAAGGAACACGATGTTTTCCATGATAAAAATTCTTTTTCCGATGAACAGAAGCATAGTAAATGTTCGTGGAATGATGGATCTGAAGAGATAACCGATAAAGCCTATTTATGTAACCCCGATAGTCCATTATCGATCCCTAATGACATCGGAGTAACTTCATCAGATAGTATAGATGAAGTGTTTGACAAAGATCATGTAACCAGTCACGATATCATTGATGGTGACGATGTTTCTTTGGAGAGGCTTTCCGATCTTCATATTCCATTACCATTATTTCACACTGAATCTAATTATTCAGATTCTTCACAGATAAATCCTTCCGATTCAGAAGTGGATGCATGCAGTTTGTTTTCGTCAAATAACTGTGCTACAAATCAATCTGATGATTATGTCCAAATAAAACATCTTAGATCGACTGACTCATCTAATTTAAACTCAAATGAATCTGCGACTAAAATCCCTACCTCGGTACCTGTATCGTCATTATCTTCTGCAAAAACAACTGAAATAATACGACTACCATCTCATGTTAACCATCTAACCACAACAGTTAACCCGAACTATCCATCTAGGCCAATATCAGCTTGTCTTTCTTTAAAGTCGAAATATCGCCGTTGTGGACAAATAACACTGAAATCAGGTGCATCCATCCTTCGTACGAAAAGTTCATTTAATGAGTTAAAGCCATGCTTTAAACCAGCATTCACTTCTACACGTTTTGCTCATTGCGGGTTTCTAGCTGCTTCTCGTTTTTCCGGATCAATAAAAGAATCAGCAGGTAGTCCAACTTGGTTTCCGAAAGTTGCATTTGTTAACTCTAATACACCACTCACTCTTAGAAAACCAGCTATTGTGATTGCCTCATCATATCCCAATTCTAGATCAGGTAACTTTTAGTTATTATACTACAATAGTTTCTTTTTAAGACTACTTACACCGTGATCTAACAGTTAGATTGGCATACAATCTTGTAAAATGTGTTTATTGTTTTCTTTAATGAATAATAATCTATCTAGTGTCCGTTTTACGTTTACAACACTTAATTTACGAAGTTGTTAAAGGTTTTAAGTATCAGATTAAGATTCCACTCCACTTCAGTTTGGTTTATTGTCTGGCACTATTACTTCTCACCGTTATTTACTATGTTACTGATATGACTATAATAACAACGATAACTCGACCACACTTTAATACCAGGACACCATAGTTCTCTTCTTATCTCTAGCTGATCCAAAAATGAATATTGTGGTGATTTTTTCAGTAGCGACCAAAGAAAATTCTTTCACTTATGTACGAATTATATTAAGTGATTAAGAAGAAATTGTCACAATGCAATAAAAGCTTACTGGGATTCAAACGCGCAAAAATCACTGCAATTTAATACATAATCTTACAAATAATTCCATCTGATACGTTATGTCTGGGGGTTTAGCATTTCTAAAACATGCCGCCAATTAACAACTAACTTCTTCCCGGTTCATCTGAACTTGTACCGTCTTCCATCTACATTGGTCGGACCATCTTGTTCGTAAATCCGATTTAGGCGTCCAGGTTGTTTGAATTTTCCATGGTTAGTAAACTGAAGGTGTTCAGCAAAATATGTAAGGGTATGTTTTGGTTGTATTCGGCTCAGTAGTATTTCTCTCACAGCTGTCATACGAAACACCCATCCTTGCCTCATTGTTATATACCTTTATATCCATTGGTCACGGGAACCCGGTAGTTGTAAGCAAACTCTTGTGTACGAACTTCAAATGCTGGGGAATTAGCTTGGATTTCGGGTCGTCTCCACGGCATCATGGTGTAGTGAGTTCTTAAGCTTCGATCCACTAAGGTTTCCAGTTTGGTTAAGTTGTTAGGAGCTGCGCTATTAGGCAAAATGCGATCGATAGATAAGAAACTTTTTACCCCCTCCCTTTGTTTGTAGAAGCACCCACTTGGAGGTGTGATTTCGACTTTATATGATATGGGACCAATACACTTAATTAACAGCTTGACAGCATCAGAACTTTGTGAACTGTGACCCATTATATGATACTTAGGTGTCTTCCAATCAGTTACAATAGAAAATTTACCTATACTGAAAGGATTTTGTTGGTGGACAGAAGAACAATAAGGACAATCTCTGGCCATTTCAACCAGGCGTTCATAAGTACAAAATATGTGACATCGTTTATCGGGTCGGCAGAGTTGATATACAGTCGTATCCATAGTTAACCTGGTTATTGCCTTGCTATTGTGACCATCAATTTACTGTGTTTTGCGACTTATTGGTGGGGATAACATATTTTGACAATTTTGATCATACATTTGTTCATCTCCGGCCAATTACCAAATCTTTGTGCACTGGATTTTTTTTACAACTATCTCCTTTAATAAATGTGAATAAAGTGAAAATGACAGTTAACACAGAATATCATGAATTCATTTTTATTTCCTAGTCTCCTATCAACTGCTTACAATAGTATTCGTATTGAAATGTAATATGATATTGGATATATCACTCAATTTCGTGGATCAGTTGAAGTTAGATATTAACACCATTGGATGCCGGCTCAGTGGTTTAATGGTTAAGTGCTCGCGCGCGAAACCAGTAGGTCCTGGGTTCGAATCTCGCAGGGGGCGAGGTCGTGGATGCGCACTGTTCAGGAGTCCCACAATAGTACGAAACAGCCATCCAGTGCTTCCAGGTTTTCCGTAGTGGTCTAGCCTCAACTGACTCATGACCTTAACCATCGAAATTACTATGATATCCACAAAACCCATCTGATATTAAAATTATTAATTGTAATTTTGAATGCAGTGAATTGCCGGGGTAGAAAAGCGTATGACTCTTACCGTTGTCGAAAAATGGAGGGACAAGAACACCTAAGGATCCGTCATTATACTTAGTAGCTTATTAATTTTAATTGGTGAAAAAAATAAAATCTGATTTATTGTCTTTTTATGTGTCACAATCAAATAGTGTCCAGATTGTTTAATTCAAGGGTATACTCTAGTTTTGCCGTATTTCATTTCTTAGCATAAATAAGTACATACAAATTTGAGCCACACCCATAAAAAAAATTTTTTCATTCGCCTATTCCGTTATAAATCTAAGAGTATTATAATTACTTTTATTGTTCATTTACTAAAGATCAAATGTACACATAATTGGCGAGTAATTACTGTGTGTATTATCGGATTTACCATACCGAATAAGTTCTTGTGCATTCATTTATCAAGTACGAGTTTATGTACTCGGCTTTAAGCCATATTGTGTGAGAATTAAGTTTATTACTACACGGCTGCTCAAACTAAACTAAGTGCAGAAGAGTTCGATTTTGCAGCCTAATCTATTGAAAACCAAATTCCTTAACTATCAAGTTATAAACCAGTCACGGAGAAATATATTATTTTCTGTTGTTTTCAGTTTGTCTATAGTTGCTACAATAGTTTAAAATATATGTAATGCTATAGATTGAGAATGAAGATTGCTTTTTCTGAATGTTATTCTATGAATAGTAACGAAATTTCGTAGCTATAAGATATCAAAAGTACAGTTAACTTACTTATTTACGCCTGTTACTCCCAATGGAGCATAAGCCTCTGATCAGCATTCTCCAACTCACTCTGTCCTGAGCCTTCTTTTCTAGTTCTATACAATTGTTGTTCATTCTTCTCATGTCTGTCCCCATTTCTCGGCGTAATGTGTTCTTTGGTCTTCTCTTCTCCTTTGACCTTGAGGGTCCCAAGTGAGGGCTTGCCTGGTGATGCAGTTAGGTGCTTTCCTCAATGTCTGTCCTATCCACTTCCAGCACTTCTTCCTGATTTCTTCCTCCGCTGGGATCTGGTTTGTTCTCTCCCATGGTAGGTTGTTACTGATAGTGTTTGGCCAACGGTTCCGAAGTATTTTGTGTAGACAGCTGTTAATGAACACTTGTATTTTCTGTATGATGGCTTTCGTAGTTCTCTAAGTTTCCGCCCCATACAGTACAGTGGTAAATATTAAAATAAATTGTTGTAATTTTACAAGTTTGAACCATTTATGGATCTGTTTCATCACTAACAACCGTTCACAAACTTATCAAAATGAATTAATTAAGTACTTGTAAAATAATTTTTAGAAAAGTTCACTTCTAGAAATAAGTGCTCACAATGTCCAAAACGACAATGAATTCTTCACAATTAAATCACCCTAGTTCAGTCTAATGTATTACCACTAAAAATATACTGTAGCTAATAATTCGAAATGCACAATTTTTTTTTACCTGTACTGTATCTCATTCAATTTTTTCTACTCGTTTTGGTTATAAAAATCCTAATTTTAATTTAATCCTGACAACATGATAAAGATATTTTTGCTTATAATCTTACAACTGATTATTGTACATATCCTTTGATTTTATCATGGATCTTTATTGTTCCAATATCACTGTAGACATGAGCTTCTTTACGCTGGAGACATAAGCATGCACGTAACTTCGTGTTTGCTACGCCTTAAAAGTCTACTGTTCGATTCAATATTTAACCTTTAATTAGTCAGTCAATGACCACGGATCCCGTTTGTTCAACCATCTGTTTTATCCAAAACTTTATTTGGGCATTCATTTATATATGTAAACAGATGAGCACTCACACAAACGTACCAAAGTGTTTGGGATACGTTTCTCTCCTTCTAAATGCAAAATTTTGCCTTCGAATTATTATTATTATTTTAACACATAGATATTGGTACAAGGAGGCACCAAATACATATGCGCCACACAAACCTCATTCGATATGTGTGAAGGCTGTGACACTGCCCGGGTGTCCAAACCGAAGCAGGTGGTTTTCTTAGGGGGCCACCCCCCCGAGCCTTCGACCTGAAGGTCTAACCCACAAGGCAGTGGAGCATCGTAAGGAGATGCAGTCCCATGGTAGCCGGTGACCAACGATTGGTTCATACGCCATTTGTTCCCGCAGGATACTGGAGCCCATGTGCACCATTGGTTTGGAATCCGGTTAAAGCGCCGGACATTTGCTTTTCGTCCTCTCGTTTTCGTAAACAACACCCGTGGTGCGAGAAGGCAGTGAGTAGGACTTCCCTGGCAGAGGCTATATACGCACGGCCGTGTGAGAGTATTTCGAGAGGGAGGGAGAGCCCACCCCACTCTCGGCCGTACCAGGGCATTTGGGGGCCTTCCAATTGATCTGCATTAGTGTTCAATCTAGTCGTAGAAAGTAAAATATTTTTGAAAACTTTACTTATTTTGACATTTTTATCACCCCTAGTGATTTGATTTCTGACAAAACCTCAACGACACGAATGCCAAAAGTCCTGTTGACTCCTTTTGAAAATCTGGCCACGTATGTCACAGACATGATCCACACCTATCTGTGTCAGGTAAAGTATCCTGTTCAGTAGTCTGCTCCATATTTCCTTTTGGCCCCGAGACTTGCTTATGTTACCTAAATTTGGTAATCAGTGTCCTGAAATGGTTGGATTTGTTGACACTTTACGGCTATGTGAAAATATATACCATGAATACAACCATAGGGAACAAGTTCATAGGACGTTTAGCACTTAATGAACGGCAACAGCCAAATACGTCCACTTATTTACATGTATGGGTGATGGTTTAATCTTGAAGTTTTTAAATTTTAACTATTGAATCTATAGTTCGAACCCCAATCTGCCTACTTTGATGTAGGGAACTGGATGGCCTGTTTAACGTTTGATAACTTGATGAAAATATATTAGTGCTGTAAATTTGTAGTTTTAATGTTCATGTAACTATAGTTTAACATGTAATATTACTATTTTCTGTCTATCTAGATGCCACATATCTGAAAAGTGAAGGAATAAATTTTATGACACATTCTTCCGTTATGCAATCAACAGATTTACAATCTTCTCTTTTATACAGTCAAAATGGATTTTATATTTCTACAATGCATCATAATTCATTAGGAGGCAATAATCCCGGTGATTTAGCATCAGTTGTAACCGCTACAATCCCATCTGATTTCACATCAAATCGTACTGTATTCTGCCCTCATCTTGGTTGTGGGAAAACATTTCGAGATACAGCTGCAATGCGTAAACATTTACATACCCATGGTCCACGCGTTCATATCTGTGCAGAATGTGGTAAAGCGTTTGTTGAATCAAGCAAATTGAAACGTCATCAACTTGTTCATACTGGGGAAAAGCCTTATCAATGCGCATTTGATGTAAGCATTTGTTTTTGCATTTTGAGTCATAATGATAATCATTTAATTCAGTAAATGTTGGAGATTAGGTCAATAGGAATACGGTTTTCATTGCAAAGACTGAATTCCAAGTAAACAAACTGTTGAAAACTACAAAGTTCCGGACATTTTTTTTCTTAAGTCTGGACCCTTCAGAAGTATGAGTTGCCCTATAATATATTTTAATATATTGACTATTAAACTGAGACTGTAAGACACGTTTTCAACAGTTTGAAAAACTCAAAACATTTGATATGATTCCGGTAGACTCTGCTCAGAGCAATTAGATTACAACAAAATTCGACAAAAGCGTCAGTCATTTTTTCCCACTTCTATTGCACGATAATAGAAGATAATCAGTCTCCAATTACTATCTGTGATCACTCACTCTACATAGACTTTTCATTGAATGAAGAATCTTGTTTCTTTGGGTTGATATAGGATTCAAATAGAAATTGTTTTCAGTCAGTGAAGACACTGACTGTTGGACTGAGCCATGTAGTTAGGTACAGACCACCTGGTTTGGATCCGCGCGATTATTGGGATCAATCTTTAGAGACTGGATGACATGGCTTCAAATCGGTTGCATTGGCACAGGTGCATTTTTCTCCTTGTCTTCTCTTAGATCCCAAACTTCTATATTCAATAATTTTTTTGTAATTTCTCTTTCAACTTGTATCTTCAATGCCTAATCTCTTCTATTACCATTAATACTGTTGTTACTACTTCTACTACCCTGGAATATTTTTTGACAATTTCATTCCGGTATGTTAATAGAGTGTGGCAGCTTGAACCGATGTACGTGTCAGAATCTACTTTGCGTATGACGACTGAAGATAGAAATATATGCCACAAACACTACTTATTTATTGTAACATACTGTAGAAAACCAAACTAATTGAATAGTTTCAAAATTCTAAGTAACAGGGAATTCGGGTTCATGCTTTTAAATGTCGTGGGCTTGTAGACCATTAATTTAAACACCCAACAGTTAAGCAGTATGTCATAGGTTTGCACTGTACTCAATCTTTGGAGGTTTCTTAAGTGATTTAGTCTAATTATAGCATTTATAATGAATGCGGTTCATAACCTATACGTTTTGACTGTACATGCTGTGTCAACGCAGTGGTCTCTTTTCCCTATCGTCATGATCTAATGGAACTATATTGAATAGAATACTGTCCTTGAGAGTCATTCTTACTAGATAGATCGATTATATGACTGAGACCATAAGCTGCAAATTTAAATCCTTAAGGGCAACCCATACTTTTGAATATACCAAAGTGTAACTACGAAAGAGTATTGTAAATGCTGTCAGTAAATGTGTTTGAGAATATCATTCATCTTTCTAAACTTTCAGTTACATAACTGAGTTGTCGAAACACTCCACTTTTAACCTCCAGGTTACATGATCTTGGATCCAACTCCACAGTTTTTGGTTTCACTTGCTTCTTAATAAATGAGTAGTCATGACATAATAAATGCGTGACTACAGGTGTTGAGTACATAGATATCTTCACATTTGCATATAAACTTTCATCTAAATGTGTTACTAGTTCTAATTGTAAAAAAGAAATGACATACCTGTTCTATCAACAAAAAAATTTTTTTTGTTTCTTATTTTAGGGTTGTGGTAAACGTTTTTCTTTGGATTTCAATCTACGTACTCATTTACGTATTCATACTGGGGATCGACCGTATCCGTGTCCACAACCTGGTTGTAGTAAACGTTTTGCTCAGTCGACAAATTTAAAATCACATTTAGCAACACATAGTAAAATTCGAGCTACTCATCAATCAAGTTTTATGAATAGACATCATTTAAATTCTACTGTAAATGGTAGTGGTGGTGGTGGTTCAGTTCTGCTACGCCCTGCTGCTGCTCATCCTAATCATACACATGATCAACCTATTCCAATTTCATTAAGTAGTTCTATTTTACAATCCCCAATGAATTTTTCCACTATAATTCCCATAGGATCTAAAGATATAAACGTTCATAATCGATGTGTCAATAGATTCAAGTCAAATTTAAGTTCTTTATTTCAAGAGGTTCATTTAGATAACTCTCGATTACAGTAAGTAATATATGTATGTATATATGATTATTTTGTTGGGTTCATATGAGTAATCGGCAGGAAATCCCGAACCCGGGTTTCGTTCTAGCTTGGTAGTAATGTCTCAAACTGTGACATAGGTTTGAATCTCATAGGGAGCATCAGTGACTTCGTAGTCCTAGGTATGTTTTGGTGACGAGTGCCAAATAGCACAAAACCTAGGTCGAGAATTTCCTACTGGCTACTTTAGACCATTTAACATCTCAACATAATACTTGCCCTATCGAGTCCCTTAAATTGGTGACCACATTTCAACTTTATCTATAGATTTCATTCAGCATTGAAGGCCTAGACAAACATAACACTAATCACTGCTCAGTGATCACTTACAATAGCTTAATTATTAGAGTGCTTGATGTTCAATTATTAAGTTACTGATTCAAATCTTTTATCTACTTTATGTTGCTTGGTCATACACACTCACACATTGTAACTCTAAGTCAAATACATATACTTGTATTTAGTTAGTGAGTTGCGTTTCATTCAGATTGATAAAACTAACACTTCATTCTGCTAATTAGCTAGTCATTGTCTACAATTTGGTCTTGAACTTTCTATAAACACTACTATTGTATGCAAAACAAAATTAAAATATTTCTTGTGTACTAGGCTATGTAATAAAAATCATATTTTAATTGGACCTAAATGTAATAGAAACTGACATAAGTTTTCATACTTTTAAATAACACAAATTCCCACTGGAAATACTTCCAACCACACATAACCTGTCACAAATATCCGTTAGCATAATTTGCTATATCTAATAAGCAAAATAAAATGAAATGAGCAATATAAATAGCAATAGAGTCAGATCAATACCAAAAAGAAGGAATGCGTTCGCCAAGTAAAATCGTTTTTAAACTCACGGTTTAAAGGAAAATACAGTGAATTCATCTGCGCCACAGTGATAGTTTCTGAGCTAGGTCACTCAACGTCTCCAACCGACTAATCGTGTTTATCTCACAGATTCCAACCAGTTAATCTGCATCCATCAGCACAACTCAAACTAATGGTCAATTACTTCGTGGACTGATGCTACTTTTTTATTTGGCCGCCCTTAACTTTCAGTTCACTCTTACTCTAACCAGTGTTGCGCTCAATGTGTTAACGTCTCTTTCTATGACACATAGATTCGAATTTCATAGAGAGAATCTCAGTTCCAATTTGCACGAAGTCTAGATCACCTAGTATCACAGTAACTAACAATAAAGTAATGAGAAGTATTAAAAAACGTACACATTAATCATCTTCAAGCACGATAATTTGGGTTGTCTTATCCTATGGAACATTCAAGACCAAAAGCAAACACTCCCCTACTTATATTAAGGTAGTTATCACCAAACCCTAACCTTATGTATCATGCTAGTTGGCACTTATCAGGAAGAGATAATTACAATCTTCAGAGGGCTGATGCTCCCTGTGGGATTCAGACTCGCATAATCTGGCCTTATGGTGTGAGACGTTACCACAACTGTTCAGTCCACTACTGGACTTCCTTTGGACTGAAATATTTACATAAATGTGTCTTTTAGCCCAATCATAGGGATAATTTGGTGTATTTTAGTCAAGTTTATATTTTTTCATTGGTAATACGGTAAAGGTTGTTATGTGATGACTACCGCCCAGTTGATTTGGATGGTCGTTGTCTGTTAAAGTAAATAATAAATGTAAGTTACGAAATAATCGTATTGATGGTTAATACGAAATATGCTAAATTTTCCAAGTAATATATTGATTTTAAATAATCAGGTAATCTCGGCACTCAAATGTTCCTCTTTCACACAGTAAGCGTTTTTTTTTCTCTTAAGGGATTACAACTATGGAATTATTCGATGTATCCACTTGTTAATCATTTGATCATGTATTTTTCAAGACTTGTGATATGTTTTATATTCAACCCTAATCAGTGGACCATGGTTGATGATTATCTGCGATAATATTGTTAATTTTTATGCGTACACATACGGTTGATGAATACGGAGAACGTAAAAGAAAACTTAGGTCTCGTAAATCTTTGAACCAATTGAATTCAAATTAGCAGTCCAAGATTTTATCATATGCATGCTTCCTTGTTAGGTTTTGAACGTTAATTTGTCACATGTGATTGAATGATAATAATGTTTTATAAGTGATATGTCTCGAATTTAGTCATAGTGGCACAGGTGTAATCATTGTTTCACTCCATCTGTTCGACGCTTATATTTTTTATTATCATCAATACTACTAATATTTTTTCTAACTTATTCGATATTCATCTGTTTAATATTTGCTCTTACTATGTGGATATAAAATTCGGAAACTAGCCAATGGATATTTATGCTGAAGTTTACTTTATGTTACGACTGATTGAGTTAACTACTAGGTGAGATGGGATTTCGAATCATTTCTTAATTTAATCAAGTTCACTCGTTTGTAAATCAATAGCTTGAACCCTGTTTATACATTAAGACTCGCTTTCGTCTCCAGTCAATTTCCTAGAATATTAGTGAGTAGTAATAGTCATAATATTCATCACATAACTTTTATACATGATATTTTTCTCTTCTTATGCTTCTAGTACTTCATCACTATTGAATATTAATAATACTTTGTCTATCCCTACATCAAGTCCAGATCAGTGCGAACCAACAGATATCAGCCCACTATCTCCATTGGATCTGACTTCTTCCTCGACAGAATCCAACAGTTCTACATTGTCATCTCAAAGTGCCACAACTCACATAAAGCATAACATTTCATCTTGTAGATCGGTGATTTCAAAAGCACAACAACTATCCACTAATACAATCGAAAGTCAATTAACTGATTTCACCAATTCCACTACTACCAATGATGCTGTGCGATTATTTGAAAATCATTCTTTAGAATGTTCTATAAATTTAGACCATGAAAAAATTGATCTCAATGTTGGGGTTACACAACCTATGATTAATAAAACTGATGAAGATTTTTCTAATAATTCACATGTGAATATTGATGACATTTATTACCAGTCATCTTTTATCAAATCTGAATCCGATATTAATGTTAATAATTCAATCCCACCAATACAAAATTGTAAAACAACAAGACGCTCAAGAAAATGTTTAAGTATAACTAAACGATCTGAATCGCCTAATTTTGAAGATTTTCTAAAAACTCAAGATGATATAAGTTTTACTGACGAGGATGCTTTAAAAAAACATCATTTTTACCTTGATAGTGGTAATGATCATTTGTCGTCTAACAATAAAACACCATCATTGAAATCATCATATCGGCGTCGTCGTCGACGACATTGTAAATCAAAATCAGATAGTAATAAATATATATGTAAAACATCATCATCACATTCTAATAGTAATGTGCTCATTACATCATCACATTATGGTACTCGTTCGAAATCTCGTGAATCCTTTGATAAAATATTACCTAATCATCAACGCGGTCGTCGTCGTTGTACATTAAAAACATGTGCCAAACGCCGTTTTCGTCCGTAAAATATAGATTTCTTTTGATGGATGGATTCTACCTCTTCCCTGTTGTCTCATCATCACGAAAACAAACACACAGGCCCCAATATATATATACATTTATGATGTTAATGTTTCTATGATCTGTATCTCTATGTTCATCATTGTTCATATTTAGTCATTTTATCACCACTACCTACATTTCTCAAAATATTAGTAGTTCCATGTTACATCGCTCAAATTATTATCAAAACTATTAATTTATTCTACTCATACACATATATGTTTTGAGGAATGTTTCTTTCGGGTCTTTTTTTCTCCTTCTAGAATGTCTTTTATTTGAAATTATTCCCATGACATTTCCATAAATATACACGCAAATTAAAATTTGTAATATCAACGTATGTAAACAGTTCATTGATTTTTTTTCCTATAAAATTACCATTCCTGTTCATTTTACCTTCATGTCGGTATGTGTATGAGTTTTTCTCTTAATTATCATTTTGTAAACCATTACACTCTACTGGGATCTCTAAAGGCGGCAAACAGATTCACTATATATATATATATATATATATATATATATATATATAAGTGAATTCATTATATGTGTATTAAAATATCAATAACTTATGTATGTTGTTTGCATTTATTCAATTACATAATGTGCAATACTCACTTTATCAATGCATTTCATTCTGATTAACTATTCCTATAATTAACAGAATATACAATGTGCAATATAAAAAGCAACATGACAAAAGTAACTGTTTAGCATAGAACAGCTAACTTTTTCTTTTCAAAAAAAATTTGTCTTATCCCCCACCCCCTTTTATGCCTTTAAATATTCATGTGCAATCATATTTAATATTCATTTATTGATTGTTTCTTTTTTTTTGCTTAAAAATTGTTTTCCTTGTTTTTCTTTTTTTTTTTTTGTTTTATGTTTCATTAATGAAATCAACCAACAACAAAAAAACATAAAAAATTCTAATCAAATATCTTGTATACTTCCTAGTCGATCTTTCACTAATATGCATATATATATACTTTTATGGATGTCATAAAGGGTTTTATTGTGGATATTATTGTAATTTCAATAGTTAAGATCATAAGTTAATTGAAGGTAGACCACTATGGAAAACTTGCTGTCTAGTGCTTCCAGGTTTTCCATAATGGTCTAACTTCAATTGACTCATGATCTCAACTATTGAAATTTTATAAATGTATTCAATGAAGTTCATGATTTCTTCTTGTTTTATTCTATTCTTTGTTGGTATTGTTGTTGTTGTTGTTTTTAAAAAACCTATACTCGAATCATATCTCTATAACTTATCCACGTATATAATTTCAATAGAAAATGGTATAACTAGTGTAATATTTTCTTTTCTTTTGCTGACAGCGGACACATCTATATTTATATTAAGAAGAAAATTTTTGTTTTCTGATTCTTAGAATAATCAGTTGTAATTTATTCTCCTTAATCAATATTAGAAGTTACTGTAGTTCGAGATGTTTGTTATTGCTGTTAGAGATAATAATAGTATTCTTGCATCAGTACTGTGTGTGTATGTGTATCTATGGTGAATTTCTTCTAATCTTTCCTTATTTCCCCTTATTCACCTGTGTTTCGATGTCTGTCTATTTATGTATACGTACACTCTTAACATGACATTCATATGTCTATCCTACGTACTCGTCCATTATAACTATTATATCTGCATTTATTTATTTCCTTTTTTTTTTAAAAAATGTTTACTTTCTGTTACGATCTATCGTTGTTTTGTTTGTTTGTTTGTTTTTTCAATGTTTCTCATCTCAAAGATATTTTCTCCATTGTTATCGATCTGTTGTCCAAGTATAAAAAAATCACGATATTTTCCGATTTTTTTTGTTTGCCTCTAAATTTTTTTTCTTTTTTCCTGTGGGTTATAGCCTGGTTCTTTCTGTTTTGTTTGTTTTCTTGTTTGGTCTGGATGTTGTTGTTGTGATCATGAATTTAGAAAGTATGAAATTGTATGTGTGTAATTCAACGGAACTCAATCGATTTATCTTTCTGATGTTTTTAATGGAGTTTTTTTTCTTCTCTGTATCTATACATTGATACGTGTACTTGTATTTGTTTATTGTACTCAAATATTATTACTGTTATTACTTAAATGATAATATTCAATTATATTCAGGTTTTGTTCACTTTTCTTTTTCTTTTCGATTATTATTTACTTATCTAGTTATCTGTATTCATTGAATAATATATGAACTTTATATTTATTTATGTATTTCTAACAGGAAGGTTGACTACTGACTCCATTGTGTTTTTTTTTTAATCAAACAAAAGAAACGCTTATATCGTTTAAAATTGCGCATATTTTTTGTCTAAATTGAATGTATTGTTTGTTAAATTAGATAACTTACTTGAGTCTATTATCCCTCTTGATGAAGATGATGCCTACCAAGGCTTTCCGAGAAACTGTCCTGGTCTATCCTATCTAGTTGTTGCCTAGCCCTATTGATTATCTTGATTTTTACGTCTAATTCCGATCATCATATGTTCTTTTGTTTATCTCTTTTCAGCTTTCCCTTAGGATTCTGAGTTAGACTTTGTCTTATGATACAGTTTCATGGTTTCCTTAGAGTGTCCCATCCATCCTAGTGTCTTTTCTTGACTAACTCAACGAGCAGCTCGTTTGTTGTTTGCCGTAGTAGTTTATTACTGATAGTCTTTGGCTAATGGAGCTTGGGTATGTTGCGTAGGCATTTGCTTCTAAATACCCGTACGTTTTTGGTGATATTGATGGTAGTTCTCCAAGTTTAGGCTTCGTACTTTTCTAACGTTAGTGTTGAAAATCTTAACTTTGGTATTGGCTGACAGTTGTTTTGAGTTCTAGGTGTTCTTCAAATGTAGGAATCCTGCTCTCACTTCTGCAATTCATGCCTTAAGTTTATCGGATCATCCTCATTTATCAATGGCACCTCCCAAAGGTGCGATATCGAAATCAAGTGTGATTCGGTTAGTGCTGGCTCCACTGTACTTTAGGATTTTGATTTTTCTTTTATGAATGTTGAGGCATACTTTTGATGAGGCCACCTCTACACTCACTTTCTTTATCCGCACCTGTCGTGTATACAGTAGGTCTGTGTCATCTGAAATGTCCACTGCACTCCGTGCTTCTGATATATGGAAGTCTTCATAATCCAGTCAACCACCAGAAGAAAAGGAAAAGATGAGATCAGTCACCTATGTCTAGCATCAGTCTTCACCTGAAACGGATCTGTGGGATTCCTCACACATGCAACTGCGACCTAGTCCGTCGTAGGAACTCCGTATGATAATGATCTCGGGTACTCCATAATGTCAAATAGGGTTCTCTAGTTGCCATGTATCTGTCTCCAGTTAGGTCGTATGATGATCGTTATCGCGGTACGTATACCACCAACCCTCGTACATTTATATCGCGTTAGAGAATAACGGAATAAAATAAGACATATGAAAATGAATTTTAGATTTGTATATTTCATAGACCCATTGATCCGGACAGACAATAAAAAAACGAAACGAAGTGGAAAATATCGTTGAGTAAATGTAAGAACAAACCAACGCGCAGTGGAGAGAGAGAGATCCAACTTGATCTAACCAAGCGTAATTCAAATATCTATAGTCAGACCAAAAATATGTTACAAACACGTAATGAATAGGGTTAGCGATCATCATACATACGATCATATAAAAAGTTGGGCTTAATAAGTGAATAATCAAAGAGGTCAAAATGTGGCTTAAGAACAAATAAATTGGTCTGTCCAGACGCTAGAACAATCTGTGTGGGCTTGACAGTACCAACCACTACAGTTCCACAAGGTGGTCCACGCTGCCGCATGCCTTCTCATAATCAAGTGAGCTGACATATTGGTGAATTTCATTCCATGGGTTGTTCACCCATGATTCACAGTGTCGTTATGTAGTTGGTACACTATCTATCCTTACGATAGCCATTTTTCTGGTCTAGAAACTGGGTGCCTACTGAATCTTTCATTCGGTCTAGCAACACTGTCAAAAACAATCTGGCACTAACAGTAGTGTGATCCTTCTGTACTACTCTCAACCAAGATTTTCTTGTGATATCTTGATTAGGCATCCCTCTTTATAGTCTTTTAAAACCTGATCTTTATCCCAAATCTTCATGAAGAAGACGGTGAGTCTTTGAAGTTACCTCTATTCGCCTTTAGTGCTTCAGCTGGGATGCTATGTTATCATAGTAACTTGTCATTCCTGATTTGTTTAATGGACTTTCAATTAACAATGTAAGAGGAAACTACAACGGGATCGCCACTAACTTTTCTTCTAAGCCACATTTGATAACTTTTCAAGGCACTGAGTTCCATTATGTCCAAGACCATGGTCACGGAGTCACGATAGACTGACAAATGCCAGTCCCATACAGTTTCCTTTCATACCAAAGCGCCGTCATAAATTGCTCTCAAATGTCATGGTATTTCAGAGGGTAAGGAGAGTGTTGTCTTATCCCCTGTTAAATATCACGTGACTAAATTGCCAATTTGGACACCGACTTGCGTGACCTTTGCACTGTGCCAAATTAATGGTGCGTTAACCAGCACGAGTATCCTAGAGTCCTTATTGATTCTTCTTGCCCTTTAAGACAAGAACACAATCAGAGCTCCCACTACATGCATAATGTATTTCAGAAATACGTAGTTGATATACAGGCAAGGACGAGTATACTGCGCGGCAGTCCGTTCTGTTTTAATTTACGGCAGCGAAACATGGCCATTAAGAGTAGAAGACACTCGTAAGCTATTAGTATTTGACCACAGATGCCTTAGAAATATTGCTGGGATCACCGGGTAAGTAATAGTGAGGTTAGACGCAGGGTATTAGGAAATGATGGTAAATCAGTTGATGAGGTTATGAATCTTCATCGACTGAGATGGTTGGTCCACGTGTTACGTATGCCTGAACACCGATTACCACGACGTGCAACGCTAACCGGTGTTCGGGATGGTTGGAAGAAAGGTAGGGGCGGCCAAACCAGGACGTGGCATCAGTGCTTGAAGTCACTAACTTCTAGTCTTAGCCATGTTGGTAGATGCAGACTACTTGGTTGGGGTCCGCGTGACTATCGTAACCAAGGGTTGGAGACTCTTGGTGACATGGCTCAGAATCGATCACAATGGCGTCGGTGTATACACTCCCTGTCTTCCCTTAAACTAAGAGATTAAAATCACTTCATATCTTTCTTTCTATGAACCAATTCTTTCTTCTTATACTATATCTCTATATGTAATCTTTCTCTTATATATTACCACCTTTGACCTAACCACTGTTATGAATCCGGTGTTCATCTTGTTGTGCTGATGCGGTATGGCAACCTGGACCGATGCACATATGTGCCTGGTCCTACGTTGTAGCTGACTGAGTGACTGACAGAACGCATCATACCATAAAATAGAAAACAATAATTATACAAGTTTAAGCCAAAAGTGGCTAAGAGTGTGAGAGACTGTAACTAATAAATCGGGAGTAAGTTAGGAATGGTTAGTCGTATAATATTAGTCAATCGATCAAATGGAAGCTTATAATACAGGGAATATAAATATACATATAATATAGTTACTTAACAGTTATCCAAAAAGAATATATGTAACAACAGTCCATAATCAATTCTTAGTAGTTGCCATCCATTCATTCTTCGTTAGGATAAAACAGAGTCCGTTTCTCCTCTCAAAATATTCCCATACGACCCAGTATTTGAAGCCTCTGACAGGGTATTCCTAATTAACTTCAGGTGACAGAAATGTGGTTTGCATAAATGTGCAGATGTGAAGCGAATGCGCGGTGCTTAAACCGAGTTGATGGATACTGAGGATACACCAAATGGAGTTGGGAAACCAATTTCAAACTGATGGTGCGTATCGGCTGCAGGATCCTTAGGGGACAAAAGGCATTCTAATCTAATTTAGTTACTGGGCATCCGCTTTAGTTTTACCAGTTGGATAGTATTAAAATCCTTCAAACATAAAAGTACAACTCATAATTTATGACATACTTGGAAGATAAATTACATTATGATTTCATTTTAAACAAAATGTTTATAAATTAAACCTTTATATAGCCGTCAGTTGCATACCATGGATATTAGTGTTTTATGGCTTAAATATTATCACATTAAACTTGAAAATTCAAGAATCTAGAACAGTATTTTAGTGTTTTTTTAGCTATGGTTATTATTTTAATAGTTGAGGTCATGAATCAATTGAAGTTAGACCACCATAGAAGCACTGGAAGACCGCTTTGTTCTACTGTGGCACTTCTCAGTAGTGCTCATCCACGATCCCGCCTCGCGAGATTGGAGTTCAGAACTTATCGGTCTCGCAAGCAAGCGATTAACCACTCGACCACTGAGCCGTCCGGCATCCAACGGTGTTAATATCTAGCTTCAATCAACCCACGAAATTGAGCGACACATCCACCATTGTCATCAGTGAGTTACTATCTCTCAGAAGACCCGGTTAAAATCTACTGGTCACTGCTTATCACTAGAATTCCAGGGAATACCTCTTCAACCCGTCACTAGTGAGCATATGTTGATTAATATTAGGTTATTTTTATTCCAGATATGAAAATATATGGACTCAGATATAGCAGAGACCCGGTGAATTGTATCAATGTGTGTTATATCACCTACACTTTTTTTACTTAGTTCATTTGTGTGTTTGAAAACTATGTTCTCATATGCATTTTTACGAATACCCTATAAAATCGTCATCCAAGTTCATTGATGTTTATTGTTACACTATACGCTTTTAGGCTTCTGTTTATTGAAAATATATAAAATCACTTGGTATTATTTACCTGAATCTTCCTATTGATATTCAAGACTGTAATTGATCAGTCTCTTATTGGCATATGTGCATACTGTGCGTATCGCCTCGATATTGCCTTAATTCACAAGCATTCTGAGTAAAGATGGGTAGTGGCTAGCAGTGAGATCCAGTTTGACGCGCTCTTCGCCCTATTTGGAACTGAATGCACCTGCATCTCAGAGTTGATGTTCACTCCGGGACTCGAACTCAGTACCGTTCGCTCCAAACGTCATCGCGTTATCTACTTAACTACTGAGTTCTGATACCTCGATAGTTAAAATTACATTCAAATAATATACATTTTAAACCAACGCCTATCAATTTCCTTGAAACTATTTATTCTTTCATTAATTATTGATGTAACTCGACCGCTGTTGCTACCTTGACGTGATAGTCGGGCTTGCCTACCATGATAAACCAATCGAGCTTTACCGACTGAAACAATCGTTCCTCAAGGTTCTTTCATGCCGGACATGTTGGTTGAAAAGCGGTGAGACTAAAAGCAGCTAACCCAAGGTCTGAGGGCGAAGTCGTACTGCTGATTGTACAGAGGTGTGACAGCAGTAAGGTGTTTCCTTCAGACAACCAGCGTAACAGCGATGCTGTCTTCCCACATAGAGGGATTGGGTTAGAAAAGGTCTATCCTAAAACTGTACACCTCGCCTCATCTCACGGATTTCCGTCTCCAGTGGTACAGATCTAACACGAAAATTACCCACAAAAAGGTCGTGTGTGCCCGACCTCAAACAGTTGTTCCTTGGACAGTGCTGTCACACTCTCAGGTCACTAAGATCACCTCTAATCCAATTTCCCTTTCAGGTACCTCCATAAGAACCCTTCCACTGTGTGGGCAACCAGGAAGTGATAACTGCCCTCACACCTTTATCAGTACTCAAGACTGATGGTAGACTAATTGCAATTGTTAGTTGTACCAGTTTAATCGATGATATCCAGTGTATAATATATTATCAACTGTTTTTCTTTGCCTCCTTACTCCATTGTTATGTAACTAACAATTTCTTATTGAAAGTAACACCTTCAACTATATATCAATGACATAGATTATAATAACATATACTTTAAAAACTTCTATTTCCCATAAAGTTATTCAATATCTTTCAATGATTAATCAAGAAACTGTTTAACAACAAAAAATATATTGAATTTTGATAATAAAAAATAATTTTAAAAAATTTAAGGTATGTACATTTGAGTTTTAATTCCACCAGAAGCCCTTCTGAGGTTATTGCTAGTCTCAAGCTTGGATAAAGAAGGAGGGTTAGGCATGACGGGTAGGTGGGGTGGGGTGGGGTGGGGTGGTGTTAGTAACTCCATTCTGTAGATAACAAACAATATATTTAGTTACTATTTGATTTTTTCATTTCTTTATTAGATTTTAAATGTAAAATTTCTGTTTTTAATAATTCAATTTCTTCAATTAATTTTAAATTTACTTTTTCTAAATTATCAGCATATTTTTTTAAACTTAATTCTTTAGTTTTTCTTGCTCTACGTGAACGTCTAGCAGCTTCATTATTTTTAACTCGTTTCTCCCAATATGCTTTATCTTTTACTTCAGATGGTGTCATTTCTGGGAAACGTCTCATACGTGGATTACAATCAGTATGTTTAATATTTGTTGAATCATTATTATTATTATTATTATGATTGGCATCGATTAATTCAGAATAACTGGAATAACAACTAGGTGTTGATGAAATAGATCTGATTGATTGTGCCGTTGTTGTTGTTGTTGTTGTTGTTGTGAGTAAATCAACAGGTTTGTCGAGTTTACAAAGAGTTTCTAAAGATTTTGTTGTAGATAATGTCTCGTCAATTGTTATGTTTTTATTATTATCATTAGTATTTTCAGTTTGATTGAATGGTATTAACACAATTGCTGAAGCACTTTGAGATCTCCGTGATTTTATTTTAACCGTTGATTTTCGTTTAGAATTATTCCCATTTGTTGTAGGAGTAGAAATTACTGATGTTGGTGAAAGAGGTGGTGTATTATTATGTTCCATAGATTTGGAATGATCATCATCGGTTTCAGATTTATCAATAGTATTAACTAATAATAAGGGATCAATAAGTCTAGAAGATTTCAATAAAAGTTCTGTAGAAATTGATGGAACTGTGTTACCAAATGCTTTAAATGGTCTACGACTAGATGTTGATCTTGGACGTTTCTGATCAGATTCATTTATTTGTATTGAATCTTGAATATCTGTAATCCAATTATTCTGGCATAATTCTGCACCATTTATATTATTATTATTATTATTATTATTATTATTATTATTACTATTATTATTTATAGATGAGGATGTGATACTTTCTGATTGTTGAATTATTTCAACTTGACGATTTGTCTGAGTATTTTGATTTGTTGGATTGAGTTTCTCTGAAGTGTTTATTATCTTCATAGTTGTGGATGATGTTGCTTTTGTTTGTGTACGTGTCCTATTTGATTTCCGTCTACAAGGAATTTCAGAATTTTGATTATTCAACTTTTTCTTAGTTAATTCATCTGATTTTATTGTTGTAAATGATTTCAAAGTTAAATCTAACGGTTTCTCATCATCTTGATCATGATTGATCAAATTATCAGTATTTATATTTATCTGTGGATAAGTAGGGGATAATAATGATACATTGTCTGATCGACGTCCAAATGGAAAACATGATGAAGCTCTTACTTTTGTTGCTATTTGTGGGAAATATGACATTAATAATGATGATGATGGTGATGATGATGATGTTACTATTTGTGAAGATGATATTGAATGTGATAAATCTGAGGTTAAATTTAAAATAGATGGGCTTGTTGACATTGACAAAGCAGTGATAATTGGTGAAACCCAGTTTAGATTTAAATTATAAGGTATTGTCATTATTGAAGTGGTAACTGGTGAATAAGATTCATTGTCTAATACATTGACATCATCAGGTATCTGTAAGAATATATACACATCCCAAATTAAATTTAATAATCATCTTATTAATAGTAGAAAACAATCAAGGTTAATCGTTTATGAATAAATAATCATCTGGAATAACTTGTTAACAAATGACTTCATAAAATTGCACTGATCATATTACATTGTCGGAATGCCATAAAACCATGTTCAGCGCGTACAGTATCATCAAACATACAAAACCACCTGAAATAATCTAAATATTCATTGACCAACCGGGGCGGTAGCCACCTTTAGGCCCCTGAATGCCCTGGTACGGCAGGGAGTGGATAGAGTCTGCTCTCCCTCTCCAAATGCTCTCACATGTCCATGTGAATACAACCAATGCCACAAAACTCACATTCACTGCCTTCTCGTGACATTACGAAATTGACAACACGAAAAGCGAATGTCCGTCGCTTTAACCGGGTTGGTGGATATGGAGAGTCTACCTAAGAGAGTTGGAAAACCCTGATTCCAAACAAATGGTGCACAGGGGCTGGCTCCAGGGTCCTGAAGGAGCAAATGGTGTATAAACCCATTCTTGGTTACCGGCTACCATGGTACTGCATCTCCTAACGTTGCTCTACTACATTGTGGATTAGACCTTTAGGTCAAAGGCTCGGTGTGTGGCACCCTAAGCAAACCACCTGCTTCGGTTTTGGCACCAGGGCAGTATTCCATCCCTCACATAAATCAAATGATTTATGTGGTGCATATCTGTTTGGCGCCTCCATGTACAAATGCTTATGTGTTTAAATAAATAAAATAAAATTCGTGATTAAAGTATTCGACTTTTCATTACATAATAACGAATTAAAACCCTCAATTTCTTCTTTGGTTTATTCATTCAAGTAGTATCACCATTACAACCTTACGCGACTGAGTGCATGAAGTTATATATGTGTATGTATTATGGAAGTATATTGATCAGAGTGATTGTGGTGAAAGAAAATGAATCACTTTATGTCATTTACTATGAATGAAACCTCGATTATTCTTGAATCACTTTACACTTATGAAAGTATCTAGTGAAGCGTTTTAGATAGAAATACTGTGTTATTTGGTGACGCTGTAAATCCTCATCAAGTAAGGTGACTACGAGATGTATTACTTATACCCGCGAAGTCCCATGTATATGTCCACAGTCTGGAAGTAATTGGTTTTATGACTCTGAAATATTGTCCAAATATAGTGAGACAACAAAATGATTATTCCTTAGGTTTAGACACAAGACACTGTATACAGATGACATATCGACTTATGAATCTGTGAGTTATCCTGACTGGATAGAATAAGGTTAGGGGAAAGCTATAGGTGGCTAAACTAGAATGTGGCTTAAGTTCATAAAGTTACTGAGTAGATACAGATGGCCTGGTTGGTATCTGAGCAAGAATCTACTACTAGTTAATAATCATAATCTTTCTAGTATTATATTATTCAATCGGTTATGGTTAACATATGTAATCTGGCACAAATGTTCGTCAGCCCAAGTTTCCATATAATATCAACATAATGAGATAAAATTAACAAAATAAATGACAAGGAATTCTAAATAATTATAGCATTAATGAAAATGTGAAAGACTTAATATTGAGATAATAATTCAGACAGTACAGAAAGAAATATATCTGAATTGATATTGGATCTGAAGATTAAAAGTAATATAAGCAATGAGTAAATCAACTCCATTCTAATCGATCTTGAATCATATTACCAAACGTCTCCAACAACCGATCATGCTTATAAATCAGACCTTAGCCACGTAGTCTAGACTCACAAACATAGCTCAAATCGATAGTCAATGACTTCATGATGATTTGGGCATACCTATGTTTTTTTCCAACAAACTTCTACTTTAATCAATATTACACTTTGAATTAGACAGTGGTTTGATATATGTTACACATATCCTAGCCACATCGCTCAATGAACATTCAGTTCTATAAACCATTTTTTCCATTTTTGTTTAGTTTTCTAACCAGCATAACTCACTTGATAATACGTGAAGTTATGTACCTTGTACTATGGCAACTGATTACCATTTGTGAATAAAATCACACTGTATTTATGAAATCTCAGTAGGTGATGTGGTTAATGGAAATAATAAAAAAGTTGTATCAGATAATGGTTTTTGTGGATATTATGGTAATTTAATAGTTGAGTTCATGAGTCAATTGAAGCTTGACCACCATGGAAAACCTGGAAGCACTGGATGGCCGCTTCATCCTCGTATGGTACGACTGAGCAGTGCACATCCACGATCTCGCGTCGCGAGATTGGAACCCAAGATCTACCAGTCTCACGCGCGGACGTTTAACCGCTAGACCATTAAACCGGCATCCTTTACTCACAATAAGTTATTTGTTAGTACGTTGTTGCTATTATTAGTATTATCCAATGCGTGAATAAAACTCATCGATTAGGACCGATGAAATTGTTATAAATTGCCAAAATTTATGTTTAGATTAAAAATGATTCAAAAATACTCAATACTGATCAATCATGGACTTGCATTATAGGTAAGTAACTGATTAAGCTGATGATAGATGGCCTAACATATATATACTAGTAACTTGGGTCAGAGGAATAATGTATCCAATGTTACAACATATTAACTGACATGTCAGTTATGCATAGTAGACATACAAACACAATCACGATGATAAGGAAGAAAATAATAGTTATTTGTTCCTAACTAATCAATACTCGATACGTATACGTGTGTATGACAACGACTCATTGAATCTGAATATCAATATATACTGGTATTGATCTAAATGAAAATAGTTGTAATATTATTCACTTTGCTCACTATTCAATTTGACAATCAAAAATTATATTTTATTAGAGATTTTCACAGATTGAAATCATGAGTCAGTTGAAGCTAGACCACTATTGAAAACCTGGAAGCACTGGACGGCCGTTTCGTCCTAGTATGGGACTCCTCAGCAGTGCGCATCCACGACCCCGCACCACCCGGGGCTCGAACCCAGGACCTACTGGCTTCGCGCGCGAGCACTTAACCATTAGACCACTGAGCCGGCATCCAACGGTGTTATTAGCTGAATTCATGAGTTCATTGAAGCTAGAGCACTATGGAAAACCTCGCGCACTAACGCTTAACTGATAGGTCCTGGGTTCGAATTGTGCGAGGCGGGATCGTGGATGTACACTGCCAAGGAGACCTATACTAGGACGAAATGGCCATCCAGGTCTTTCATGGTTGTCTTGCTTCAAATGATCTATGAATTCAACTACTAAATTGTTATAATGTCCACAAAACCGATCTACGATTACAAAAACTTTTACGTTCATATGTTACATTTGGAATGTGACTACTTACGAGTAGGATCAATATATTACACAAAATACCCAAAATAGTAGAAAATTATTATGGTAAATTATAAGAATTTAATAGTTGAATTCATGAGTCAATTAAAACTAGACCACCATAGAAAACCTAGAAGCAGTGGACTGTTGTTTCATTCTGAATAGGACTCCTCAACAAGGAGCATCCACGATCCCGTCTCGTGAGATTCGAATCCAGGACTTATCAGTCTTGTGAATTCAACTACTAAATTATTATAATATCCACAAAACCTCTCTCTCTAAATTATAAGAAGTGAAAAAAAGTATTCAACTAATATAGAGGATTTGTTTACAACATTCTATGAAAAATTTGATCCATGTTAATGATCTATCAATTTTTGATTGAGATCATGAACCGATTGATGTTAGACCATCACAACTGAAAACCTTGAAGCACTGGACAGCCGTTTCGTCCCACTGTGGGACCCCTCATCAGCGCGTCCACGACCCCGCGAGCGGGATTCGAACCCAGGGCCTTCGGCCTCGCGCGCGAACGCTTAACCAACTGGACCACAATGGTGATAGTTTCTAACATCAACCAATTCACGAAATTGCGCGACCAACTTCCGTTGTACTGATGTAGATACCTGTCTCTACCCGACAAGGATTAGCTCCACTGGTCACGACTTCTCACTAGAACTCCGAGAATTCCCTCACGAAGCTAGTCACTAGTGAGCACATGTTAATTACTAGTATAGGGGTTGTGGAGATTATCGGTTCATGATCTCAATCAAAAACTTAATAATCTCCACAACCCCTATACTAGTGATCTATCAATTACTTGTTTGTATATTTTATCGTTTCGATTCCATCCCTATCATACAACATGGCTATAGAAATATAATCAACTAAAAAGGGAAGGTTACTCTCTTAAATAGCCAGTTCAGTAATTATGTTTCAAGAAAATGAAAGGATGTTTCATTGAATGAACCCATTTTTTTCAGAGATGAGAGATATTATTTAACAGAATAAAAAGAATAATCAGGTCAACATTTTTTGTATCAATATGTTATGAGTATTGATCAAGGTAATCAGTATGAACTGGTTCAATGTGACTCTTTAAAGTCATTACTTATTTTGTATCAATTCAAGAATGACAAGTGTGAACTTTCATTCAATATGACAAATCTATTTTAATAGTTGAGATCATGAGTCAATTGAAACTAGACAACCATGAGAAACCTGGAAGCACTGGATTGCTGTTTCATCTTAGTATAAGACTCTTCTGAAGTGTGCATCCACGATACTCCCTCGCGAGATCAGAACCCAGGACCTATCAGTCTCACGCTCGAACACTTAACCTTTAGACCACTGAGCCAGCCGGGATCCAATTGTGTTAATGTCTAACTTTAACAATTAATCCACGAAATTGTATTCCCTGTATCCATCCAGGTGAACTCTATTCAGTGTGTATCTATCTGTACACTAACTCCCTTATATGTGGTACTAGTTTATGTAAAAATTACTATATAAATGATTGTATTTTGGTTTAATGTTTACATGATTTGTGGAAGTAACTTTGGAAAGCCAGTACATTTTCATTACTAAAGTCCTTCATGTTCTTT